AAGTTACTCATACATAACGTAGAAATATTTATCAATTTCTTGCAGAATTCATATTTCAAAGTGGTGTTTATACAAAATTGAAAAACCTTTATTTTGTGTATAATGAATTAAGCAATTTATGGAAAACCGTAATATATATTACTATATGTATTATGCATGTTAAACTGCATAAGGCATAAAAATTCTTCATTTTTAAATGGATTATATATTTTCTACAGTAGCCAATGAGAGGATTTAATTCAAATCAAAGTATCTAAGTGTTCTTTTGAGGTAAAGCAATATCCACAGCATCTTTTTTTCATAAACACAATTGTTTCTGTAGTAACAAACACTATTAGTTATTAACTTCAAATACTATTTTATAATCAGAATATCTAAAATTTTCAATTGAGATAGTAATGTTATTCAGATTCTCTCTCTCTTGTTATCCCTACCATTCTCCTATCACACAATACACAATTGCATACACAGGCAATTGATTTCCTAACCTCAAATCATCTAAAATCTAAGAAACAGTGACCGTTACCACCGACAGTTACATAGTAGAATGCATATTTACAAATATTTACGAATGTGTCAGAAATGTTAAAGATCGAAAATATATGTTGGCTGAATACGTTTAGAAAATTTATACTGTCCATCTACGTACTGACATAAAAGTTGTAATTTCATTAATGAAAAAGATGTGCTGTTCATAACAGTATTTGTGATAAATGATTGTAATATGTATTACTTATATTGTTATGTTTCAATAAGTTTACCCAAAATAATAAAACAATATTGTTATGCAAGTAAAAGTGCAATTATTTCGACAAAATAAGGAAAATGGATAATCCTATAAAGTTAATTATACATAAAGGAAGCACAATTTTTCACAGTGTTATTATTACATCTTATGCACTAATTAGATATGAACAAAAAGTGAAAGAAAATAGAGATACAGATCATATGAATACCGATACAAATCAATGTAACGGACACAAAGTGGTTAAAATAAATGTGATCTGTTTAAATAAGAAGGGATATAGCGCTTATCTTGTATCAGCTTATGTTACAACATTATTAAGTTCGCAAACATATCATACAGCTGCATATAAAAAATTGTTAAAATATTCACAACACAGGGTCCCAGATGAGACAAATTCGATAATAGTCTTAATGAAACTTCGTACACCAAAGAAACAATTTTTAGATTATAAAGGGTAAGAAAATCTTAATATTACTTTAATGTTACAAAAAATAATGTATAACAGTATTCAATGTTTCTGTTTTAGGAATGATAATATAACACAAATGGTATTGGAGAGACGAGAAGTTGATCATGCTATGTCTTGGTTGTCTACTCTAGGTGGAGCATTTTCTGCTTTAGGAGATGAATATCAACACTGTGTGAGTTGAATAGCACTTTTAATGAAGTACAAGAAATAGATGTAATACAATGTAGAATGTTGAAATATTTTTTAATTCAAACAATTATTTAATTTACCTTTTCTTTTGTTCCATTAGTAAAGTAAGTTACATATAAAATCGAAAATAATATATTTTTTATACAGGCTGAAATGGCAGGAAAAATTTCTGTAAAGCAATTGCAATTAGCAATGCGTCTTGGAGATCCACACTTGGTTGCTCGTTGTAAGTTATATGCTGCTCTAAGTTTAATCCAACAAGGTCATATAAAAATACCAAAAATAATTATAAAAAGTATTTATAAATTTGCAATTAATCAAAATGATGTTCGCTTGCAAAATATGTGTCTTGGTATATGGGCTAAACTGAAATATTGTTTTAAAAAGAAAATTAATCATATAGATTATTTTAGTATTAGA